CGGCCGCGCCGGTCGCGCCGGCGGCGCGGGCGGCGGCGGCGGCGGCCTCGGCGGCGGCGGCAGGGTCGGTGGTGGTGCCGCCGGCGGCGGCGGCGGTGCCCTCGAGCTCATCATGGAACAGCTCCTGGGCGCCATACCTGAAGATTTCGAAATTTGAAAATGGCGGCACGGGCTCAGCTTCGTACGACAAAGGTTCAGGATCTTGTAGAGTTGGTCTTGTGCTCTAGGGACGAGGATGCTTGCAGGGTTTGTAATCTGGCGATCTCGCGATCCTAGGCTATCTTTCAATCACGCAGGAGAGGGCGGCCGGCATCGATTAGAGCCCGACTCACTTGACCTACCAACGGAAGGGGAGATGGACAATCAGCGCCCATGTGCCCCCCCCCCCCCGGGCCCGCTTGCAGGGCATCGCCGCGCCCTGAAGCCCGCCCCGCCTGAGCAACCACGGCTCCTCCCCTGCCCCTTCAAGCACAGCCCATCATCAGGACACCCTCGGCCGCTGGAAGCGCATCGTCACCCGTTGCAGCCCGGTCACCCGAGTGTCACCCGTCTGCCACCCGTGCGTCACCCGCCCGTCACCCGCCCGCCGCCCACCTGAGGATGTCGTCCAGCGTGGACTGCTCCAGCCGCGACTCCCGGGCGCCGCCCTTCTTCAGCTTTGACACCACGAGATGCTCCATCACCATCTTCTCCTTGGCGCGCTGCGATTGTTGAGATCAAGATGTGCGGCGGGAAGTTGAGGGGTTGGTGCAAGATCGGGCGGGAGAGGCAGACGTGGGGTGAATTTCTTTGCTTGGGAGGGTGTTTGGGTTGGGGCTTGTTGATGGGATTGTGCTGCTGCGGTTTGTGTGTGTGTGGGGGGGGGGAGCGCGGGTGCCTGCACGTTCCCACGAAATGTACACACACACACACACACACACACACACACACACACACACACACACACACATATGAACACACACACCACCCCAAGACCCTCCAACCCCCCCCCACCCCACCCCAATCCCACCTGCATCATGCGCTCCTCCACCGTGCCCCTGGTGACGAGGCGGTACGTCATGACAGCGTTCTTCTGGCCCATGCGGTGGGCGCGCGCCTGCGGTACGACAGACGATGGCGGGACGGCGGGACGTTTGTGAGGGTGGTCGAAAGGGGCCAGTGGATAACATAGGAAGTTAAGCGGCCGGGCAGCAAAGGGGATGTGGCAGCCGGCGCAGCGGCTTCGCCCGTCGGCAAGTCTTGGGACGGCGCTCATCCCACTCCAGTGAACGCACGCGCCGCCCGACGTCGCGCGTGCGAACAAACGCCCTAAACCTCTGCGCGCCGCTCTCCTTTGCAATCCCCTGCCCATGGTTACACGCACGCACGCACACGCTCGCGTGCACACACACCCACACCCAGACCCACACCCACACACACTCACTCACACCTGCGCGCACAGACACTCACACACACACACACACACACAACGCAGCCACCTGTGCCTGCAGGTCGTTGTGAGGGTTCCAGTCGCTGTCGTAGATCACGACAGTGTCGGCGGTGGCCAGGTTGATGCCCAGGCCGCCAGAGCTGGGGTGACAAAAAAGGAGGGAGTGGTTTGAGGCGGAGGTCCGGGTGGTGTGGGTCGTCGGACGTTGGGAGGCCAGGTGTGCGTTTCTCAGTCGTCTTCGCGTGCGTTTCTCAGGCGTCTTCGCGTGCAAAATTGCCGAGCCGGGGTTTGGGGTGTGTGCAGAGACGGGACGCCCCGCGCGGCATCCGCCGGGGGCGTTCCAGTGCCGCCCAGCCACCCGGCCACTGCCCCGTCACCGGCCGGCTACTACCCTGGCCACCACCCCGACCACCACCACCCGTGACCATCACCCACCGCGTACTGAGCAGGAAGCAGAAGAACACGTCCGGCCGCGTGTTGAAGGCGTCCACGCGCCTCTGCCGCTCCAGGCCGGGGACGTCCCCTGTTGTGGTTGTGGCGGGGGTTGTGTGTATGTGTGTGTGTTTTGAGGGGGGCTTTGCCGCTTGACAATATGTTGGGAGTACCTCCCTTGCGCGTTTCCCTACCCTCTGGTAGCCCTTTAGACTTGCACACACACACACACACACACACACACACCAAAATGAAGCCCCCCGACACACACCCAGCCGATCCTCTGGCACCCCCAGCACCTCACAAACCC